ACATTCTGACAGCACTTCAGACAGCAGCTTTGTGCCCCGCCAGCTTCTTGTTCCATGCCTACCATGGTGTTTTTGTACAGACAGCACTTCAGACAGCAAGTATGCTGTAGTCGGCAATCATTCGTTTTGGTACAGAGTGGGACAGGTAGGGGGTGATGTTGCTGTAGTCGAACGGTGAGACGGACGTGTAGTTCAGTTTTGGGCACGCGTACGGTGCTGCAGGGACTATATATAGGTGTAGTAGTACCTCTTCGGGCTCTTGTACACCTTTTTCTTGCTACGTGTGCGTGTTCTTTAGATCCTCAGATGGCTCTAGCACTTTCGTGACCACGGGCCGAGAGTCTTTGCTAGATTTTGGCATTTAGAAACTGGCATACGGTTTAATGTGAAGTCAACAACAACAACAACAATACTGCTGTATATAGTTTGTAGTATAGTGTTGTAGGGTTAGGGTCTTAGTGGTGAGCAGCGAAAACGTTCTCTCTCTCTCGCGAATGTGTCGTCTTATCCTCCTCCAACTGAGATGACTGATAGTCTAATAGATATATATATATATATATATAACCTCTTGCTTCTCGCTTCGGGGAGCAACGAGTCCAGCAAAACCAACGTATGCATACACACAGGGTACACCTGCCGCGTCCTCTTTCGTGGATGTCAATGCGCGCTTTCTTTCCTTCTCTCTCTCTCGCCACCCGAATTATTTGCTGTGTCCGGTTTCGGCCACACATTATTCGTGAGATATGTTTGTGTAGTCGATGTGCGCACCCACTCGGCCTCTTTGTCGGGCACGTTGACGTAAGGCATTTTGATCATACCGCGGACCAATGACGCCCACTTTGCGTAGTATCCGAGGTATGTTCCGAGGTGCCGCAGATCCAACGGCGGGGGAAGCGCCAACAACGCGTGGCATTCATGCATGCAGCATGCATGCATAGCGTACACCGCGTCGGGAAGGGTTGGTTGTTACTGGCCGCCGTGCGGGCGCGTGAAGGGGGAAAATATTGAAGCACATCCTTAAATCAATCTACGTGTGTGTGGCTGTAAGACACCAGCGAGCATGCAAATGGGAAAACTACCGGGCCGATTAGGCTATGCTACAAACACAGACAGGTGACAACTCACGCCCCCCCCCCCTTTCGGTGGGTGTGAAAAATTATGATCATATAATACATACACTTGACAGGAGGCAACAAATGGACCGCGAACGGATGCGTCCGGCTTGCCTTACACCTACCTGTCTTGTTTGCGCAGAACGCAATCCCGTCCCCGAACACGCCAAAACAGCATTACGTAACAGAAAAAAATGCCATGGAACTTCGGTACATCAGGTGTGTTTCGTCGAGTATATTCTGGGCGCCAAGTCTACACACCTCGGTGTAGTGGTTTGACGCACCACCAGCAGGGGCCAGTCACGCAGAAGATACCTCCTCTGCGGTCGAGGAAAAACACTCTCTTCGCAACTTTTCGGGTGATTGAATTAACGCACGGTTCGCACTTACCTCGTGGGTCTCTTGTTCCCTGTTGGACCTCTTTCTTTTCTGCGGGTGAAACCAATGGCGGATCGTTACACAATGATGGAAGTCCTAGACTAGTCTACTTGTTGCGTGACCCCGGGTTGGGGAGACAACACACCGACAACACATGATGCCTGGTCGGCGGGAACCCGGCACGGAACCCTCCGGCGTTGTAGGCGGGTGTGGGAAGCGTTCCCCGTTCTCCATTTATTTTATTTTGATCGGTCTCCTCGACGCTCTTTCTCGTTTGGTGCGGTAGCTGGTCTTTCTTTCTATCATTTTGTTTCTCTTCCGAGTGGTTTTTGTACCCTATTTTTTTCTGTTTCTTCGTGGGGTCGTGTATGCCGGGTTTTGAGACCACGGGCTCCCAATCTTTCTTTTTTAGAGCTAATGTGAGAAACAACAACAAACAACAACATGGAAACGTCCTCGTCCAGTATTTATGTGGAATGACGACATACACAGAGCGCGTGTGCGTGCCACATCCCACGAATTTCGATCGACGTCTTCATCATGTGCCAATCGGACAGCGCGGTCGATGCTGAATAAAGAAACACAATGGTCATACTTGTGCGCGTGTAACACAAACCAATTCCCTGGACCTAGCGTTTTACCGGCACAGTTGACGCAGCTGCGATGTAACGCAAGATCATCTCCAAAATACCAACACTGATGTGCCATGTGGCGTTTCGATGTTCTACTGAATGGAAATGCTGCGTCGATTTACTTCGATAGGAAGCTTGAGCGCGCATGATTGAATCTCTTTCTTTGTGTACACTTGTTTGTGGTGACCTTCAAAAACTGATGCCCATTCTACACAGCGCAGTGAAAATCTGCCCAACGACAGCACCTGGCACTCCCCAACCAACAAAAAAAGCCAAAACTGCTGCAAAGTCAGAGCAGAGCTCCGCATCCTCTATTTGGCGCCCACGCCTCTGTCGTGCCAACAGGTGCCGTATAGAAACACGTGTTCCACTGCGGCAAAATAAGCATCTATATCGTCACGATGCGACCGGGGGCACGGGAGGGGCAGGGTCGGCCCCGAAAGGGTGACCGGGAAACACGGCATGCAGCAAGATGTCCCAGCCGGCGATGGAAAACTCATCCCTTTGCGTGCTCAGCAGCCCGTCTGAAGGAGGACGCGGTGGCGGGCGGAGCGGCGGGACGAAGGAAGGGTAAAACACCCTGCAGCCAAAACACTCATGATGGGGAAATGAGCAACCGAGCCGAGCCACGCTTTTCTCTGTCTCTCTCCCTCTCACACACACACTCACACTGTGCTGCCGACCAAAACGTTCGGGAGCCCCAACACCTCTACGACAGGCAAGGGCACTGACCTGAGTCTCTCTCGAAGGTAGTGGTCACAATGTATGGCTTGATGGGAGGGTTGAACGGCAGGTTTATCCGCCCGGAGAGACGCCAGTTCACCACAATGTCCTCTCCGTCCACCTCGGTGGAAATGACGTCACACCTGTGTACGTACGGATCGCGATATGAGCAAGACGATTGCTACGGAATGGTTAATTTTTTTCCCCTTGGGAGTCAGCTCCCGCTGCACATTCCACGAGGACTCGGTTACACTGGTGGGTGCGATCACACTCCATATCAACTCACCGCCCACGGACCTCCCCCTAGAGTAGAACTGGACACGATATTTTCTTCAAAAGAGAAACGACTACACGACGAGCGGACAAGAGTGAGTGTGGTTCTCGCACCGACTACGAATACCCGGAGGCACAATCCCTTATCCCAGCGGTGAACACGCAGAGGTGTGTGCAACGACGCGAACGCTCGTCACCACCGGGACAAAATCCGGACTTATTACACCGCACCTGGACTCTTCCTGGTTAAACAGCTTCGCCACGCCTTCGGCGTATTTGTCGACCCCGGTGAGGGACACCTGATAGCCGGGCACGCCGAGCAAGCAGTTTGGTTCTACAGTAATCAGCCTCCACGTTACTGCTCCGGTGATGTCACGCATGATTAGAGTTTGTCCAAGAAGGCGTGGGCGTACATTCATTGCAAATCGAATGCTACATAGTGGCTGTACAGAACGGTTCCGCAACCATCGATATCGGGATGAGGTTCTCGTTTTCATTTCGTCTCCACCGTGGAGCAGAGGGTTCATCAACTTCTACAGAGTTTAGTAAAGGATTCGCCGCTGAGCTAGCTGTGTGTTTTCAACCCGATTGTCAATTTTTTGTGTGGAAATACGAGCGTCTGTTGTCTTGACGGAATTCCTCTTGATTGCGGGCCCGATCTGAACCTTAGGCAAAAATACACGCGTCGTTCGTCACTCTTGTCACCTGCGGGTCCGAAAAGAAGAAGCCTTCGCTGAAAAGGGAGGCGTCTACTCGCCCGGTAACGAACCAGCCGTTGCTTCTCAGGGCCTCGTCGAGGGCAGACGCCATCTCCCCCGCGGCCATGCCTCTTCGTTTCGCGTCCTCGCCGACGTTGAACACCTTCCGCGTTTGGCCGTAAATAGAGCAACAAGATATACTTGCGGTACAGCAGTACGAAAGGTGGGCGAATTAGGGTAGATCCGGGTGGCAAACGCCGCTTCAACGGACGCTCTTTAAGAACCTCCCTGTATCCCCCCAGCGCAGGCCGCCCTGCGCAGACGCCACAGCGAGGAAAACGGGCTAGGTGTGAGCCCACTCACGGACTAAAACCAGCACAAACGAGAACCTTAGCCCACAGGATAACGCAGTCCTGTCGTCCCTTGCAAATAATTGAGCGCCGCGCCCCTGCCCCGCGGACAGCGTTGCGTTCTCGACGTGTCCAGCCTAAACGCGTGAGCGCCTCGAAAAGAGCAAGCTGCGCCAAACCAATCATATGCTCTTTTCCTCTGCTTTGTAGACTGCGAATATTTCAGCCAGAACAGATCCAAGAATGCCCCAGTCGCCAGCGATGTCACTGTGAAAGCAACAAGTTGCCATTTTTTCGACACGCCCGGAGCCCTCCGGGTGGCTGATCCCTCTGCTGCATCGCCATCGCCGACTACGCAAATGAAAATGAATGTACAATCGCACACTCGCAAAGGGTTTTCAAGCACCCCAGATCCACAAGGTATTACCACGGGCGCTCATCGCAGCGAAAGATGAGTCAGGCGTTTACCGAACAAACATGCGTCATGGTTTGTCCACAGACGTGCGCAAGAACCCTCCCAACACAATACTAGAGTACATAAAATTCAATGACAGAGACGCTTGATCAACAGCACACGGCACCCATATCGATCCCACACTCCATCAAGGAAGGTCTGACGTTACCCTCTAAAGCCAATCCTTTCGTCAGGTGGCAAGCCTCTTCGGCCGTGACATGTTTCAAAACAGTCTTACAACAGGCTTGAGACTCTCGCAACATCATGTGCTGTTCCTTGCAACACACAGCGGCCATTTTCCCCCGCAAAATTCAACGCGAAAAGTGTCCTTGTCGGCATGTGATCTGTACGTCGCGAGCGACACTTCTAACTCTTGATGAAAGCAGTGGCTTTGGAGCACATGTCAGAAGGTTTTACGCCAGACCTTTCTCATCGAGTGTGGGATCGGCATGAGTGTCGTGCGGTATTCGGTCAAACGTCTTTTTTCATTGATGCTAACATCCTATAGTATTGTATTGTACCCGAAACCAACCCCAACAAACAAGGCAAGAACCGCCCCTCCCTGTGATCATCTGTGTTTCATGCGCGCGGAGTAGATTTGGCACTCTCCAATACATCGATCGGCAAACCTCGAGGGAGTGTCGGATCGAGGTTGGTTGATGATGGGTAAGTCAACGACAACACCAAAAAAAAACACTTGATGGCGAACAAGTCCATCGACGAGCAATATAGGTGACGTGTGGACCATGGGCGTTCATCGAGTTGCGACAAGTCGGCAGCACGCCGGCAGCGTAACGATTAAATTTCGAGAAAGTCTAAATCAAAACATAAGGCAGCGCTGACCAGTGTGATGGGTTGATTTCGGCTTCTATAGCGCGGACTCCGAACTCCATCAAAAAGCAGTGACCAGGGATAAGGATCAGTGCAGTTCGGGAGCACCTGACGATTGGATCTGAGTATTGATAGGGGATGGATTGAATGTTTCGCTCACCCTCCCAACGATGACCTAGTGCTTGCGACGTCATGTACTTGTATGTATAGTTGTCCGGTAGAACCGGCAGACATGCTAGTAAGCAGAGGGTAAATGAAAGGTTCGTGATATTTTTTTTTATTCGTTTACTTTTTTGTCGTCACATCTCTGGGGCCGCCTGTTTACGCCTCTTCGGTGCACACTACACGTTTTGCCGCATTTGTGCAATTACACCTCTCAGCGTACTTGAAACACTACAACTAGCTGGACCCACAGTACGGGGTCACACAAGAGGGGGTACCCACGCCGGGTTTTTTTGCCTTTTATGTTCGTTTGTCTCCGCCGGGGTTTTTCGCCTTTTAATGTTCGTTTGTCCCCACCTACTTCCTGCGGTGCCCGCCTGAGATATTTTTATCGCGAGAAGGTACAGCAATCCCTTCCCTCGCGACGGTTAATGTCGACAATGAAGTCGACCAAGAATACTAACAACGAGCCTTGCAGCGCGTCGCTTCCAACTTAGACAAGGATATATTTAGAAAGAAAAAACTCGCCATGTCGGGACTCGAACCCATGATCTGACCCTTTGTAGACTGCGAGGATACCCACTGGAATACCGGAGCGACAAGTGTATTAATGGAGACGACCGAATACTAGCTGGCATACTCCCAAAAAGAATAATCAGAGGAAGGCAATGTACCACCAGTAACCTCTGTCGAACACACGCAATGATGGTGACACAAGAACTAACTGCGGCTCACATTTTCACTGCAGCGATAGGGTGTGAATTATGTGTTGCGCCTCACCTAAAATGGGTGCTCCTCACCCGCGAGCCGGCACTGCCTGTAGTCAATTGGCTCTCACTGGTGCAAGACCAGACTACCCCATAACGACACAAGATAACACCCCCCCTGCACCGATTTTCAAAAGCTCGATTTCTCGACAGCAGAAAGAGTCACAGCGCCGAAAACGGCGGCGTTGAAGCCGACTCGTCGAGAGATCTCTCTCCGAGATCGTATCGTTTTGTTTATGTGTCTTCTTCGTCGTGGCGTAATCGAGCTTTCAAAATCGGTGCGGGGTGCATATTAGGAAACATAAGTACACACGAGAGTACCAACCTATTTTAGAACCTTCCGAATGGACGCCAACAACGACATAGTCTAAACAACGTGGCAAGTTCTCACCTCTACATAGTTTGGGAGGGGTTACGGTTTGCTGTTGAGGGGAGGGGCCGTAAATCGAAACCTTTAGCATGTCTCTCGGCACGTCAACTGGTAACAAAGCCGTACAGTAGCGGCTACGGTTTAAGAGAACTTATTTAAGAGAAAGTACGGATTTAAGAGAGAGGAATTGGCTTGTACCAATCAAAATCGATTTAAGAGAAATTTCCTATTGCAGCTGGGATTTTTCTGTTAAATCGAACAATATGGAAACCACGTGGACACACACACACATCACACACCCACACAGCTGGAGACACCATGCCCTGCGCGGCGGGCAGTCGCTGCACGGCTGTCCCCGATCACACGCCAGGCCCGCCGGCGTTCACAAATCACCAATGTAGAGGAGTCTGCGGGCAGTACCTCCATGGCACCTGTGGTGTGGTGGACCCTCAGGGCACCTCCGAGATGCATCGCATCTGCCACAACTGCCTGTCCTCCCGTTAGTTTCTTGGGTTTGTGTTATTTGTACGGCGAGTGATGTTTTGATATTGTGAAGCTCTTTTTTTTTCGTTGACTTGTGTTTTTGTCGGGGGTTTAAATCGATGGGATGAGATGTATGAGGGTGTTATGTTGAGGGTACGGTGGGAGGAAGGGGTGCATTGTGTAAACGGGTGCGTCGTTCTTGAGTGCTGGTGCATTCGTTGCCACGTGTTGTCCTTCTAGAAGAGGTGCGACTATGATTCACAGCTATAAAACAACTCAACCAAAAACCTTTTACGTGTCCACGTGCAAAATGTGCATCGCATCACACAACGATGATTTATTTTCCGAACGCAGATCCACCAAAAGCGTACCACGTACAGCAGTACTTGGGTCCACGTGCTTGCCAACCAAGAGAATGAGCGGTGTTTGGAGGTA